GTGTAAAAATAAAGAAGTGTTAAATTATAGTTGATTTCTAGTTTTACCCTTGATGTGATGGGTAAAAGTAAGGTGTGATGTATAGAGTATTAGAGAAAAAGTATGATGTGATAGGTAGGATATGAAAAAGTAAGGGTAAAAGTAGTTTTTTAATGGGAAATGGAAGTGTTTTGTTGGAAGTGTAAAAAATAAAAGAGAGAATGTTTTTGAAAACAGAGAGAGTAAAATTTTAAAACTATAGACTAAATATGGAAAACCACATGTAATTAAGGAGCATTTATAGAATTTCCTCTATTAATAACTATAAAACTTATCAAAATTCCCTAATAATTCCTGTATTAATTTTTTAGGGATATAGGGAATAAATATATATAATTCCTCATTTCTAAAACTCTTTTTTCACTTCAAACAATGTGCTAAGTCCAATCATTTAAAAATTGATTTTGTTTACAAATTGGTAGAGAAATAAAAAGTATACATTACATTAGAAAAACTATACCAACTGTTCTACAAAACCCGACGAGCAAACAAATGTTTTATTTTATCTAATGGTTAATAAAAAACGTGCGAACTAAGTAAAGTTATCAATAGCTCATAATAGTAACTAGGACAAGATTTTGGGATGGAGGTATCAGAGTGTGTGTGTCTACACACACGCACACACACACACACACATATATATCCAGTCAAATGATACCTTATGGTAAAATGACATATTACGGTCAAATGATGCAAAACTCATCACTGCTAACGGTAAAACTCATTCACACCAACTGCAAAGCTCGCTACAATATATGGCAAAACTCCCCATTTTTCACAATTTGAAAAAACCAAAGGAAGAGGTGCTGACTTTGACTTTGACCTATGATGACAACTGAGTTTAACCGTTGACTGCCGCCTTGACCACCCTGCCACCTCCGCTGGTCGCGGCCACCATCTTCTCCGCCGGTCTCCGTCATCGCTGGTCAATGGTGCTCCAAGCCCCCCTTTGATTTTCTTTTTCATTTTTTCAAGCTTAAAATTTGGTGAGCTTCGTGTGTATGTTCGATGAGCTTTGCATTGAAGAATGGTGACCTTTTTTGTTAGGGTTTGTGGGCATTGAAACTTTAGAATTTTAAAAATTCAATGTGTAAAAAAATCATGATGAGTTTTTCCATATAATTTGGTGAGCTTCGTAGTTCTTGTTGGTGAGCTTCGTAGTTCTTGTGGTAAGCTTTTACGCCATCTGTCCGTAGCATATCATCTTATCCTAAGGTGTCATTTGACTGGAGTCAATATATATATATATATATTGAATGATTTATAAATACCTTATTTTTCATTTTAAACTCATTTTAATTTCAAATTGACATGGAGAAGGTAATTATTATAACACATTCAAAGTATTTTCTTTATTTGTGTAATTAATTACCAACTCATGCTTAATAATTATTCATTTATCATTTAAAATATCATGTATTGAGTTTAGTTGACAACCCGAAGTATTGGTGTAAAATTGAATACGATCAGGGAGCAATGGCGTAAATTATTCAATTTCAGAGTACTAACATAGAATCACAAATTTCTTGGAGTATTCATGTGAATTTTTCCTTTAAAAAATATGTTAAAAGTCCTACAAAAGAAGAAGTGACATGAACATTTTATTTTATTAAATAATCAATGAAAATTTATATATAGACAAAATTTCAAAATTTTTTGAATAGTGAAATGTGTTCTTTTTTATGAGTGAATATTGTAAACGATGTTCAATAGCGAGAGCAATAATATATTAGGAATGTATGAACATATACTACATAGTACATTTTAATATATTTAAATTATTACTTTTTTAAAAATGAAAAAAGTGATTATTAAAAAAATACTTCAGATTCAAAATATGTGTCTCAAAATATTTCTATTATTTTAAAAGGAGGCGATTCTCATGACATTGCTTGGCAATGTACTGCGATCATCCGAAGGCCTTACAATGCTCCGTTCAAAAAATTAACGATTCTGAACTCACTCATCTTGGTAAATTCTCCTACTCCGGCCCCACCCGAATCTACCCCATTCAATTGCACCCCCACAAAAATTGTTGATTTTGGAGTAAAGATTTGACTCTAAAGTCCATAAAATATAAGGGTGCAATTGAAGATTGAAGGGAGTGGGAGTGTGGATTCAGGTCAGGCCGGAGTTGGAGTTTATTAGAAAATAAGATGTATGAAACATTATTTTTCTGAACAAAGGACTATAGAACTCCCAAATTATTCCATAATATTGATCTCAATGTCACGGGAACCAATTTTATTTACTCCTTAATTGATTTTGTTTTTTTAACTTTAGTACTCCGTCCGTTCTCAAAAACACTTCCTCTTTCATTTTTTCCATTTCCAACAAAATACTTCCACCTTTTATTAAAAACCACTTTTACCCTTATTTTTCGTATCATACCTATCACATCATACTTTTTTTCTAATAATATATCCATCACATCTTATTTTTATCCATCATATCAGGACCAAAATTGGAAGTCAACTATAATTTAATACTTCCTTATTTTGGTTTCAAGTCAAAGTAAGAAGTCTTTTTGCAAACGAAAATAGTACTCCCTCCGTCCCTAAATATTTGCAACATTTGCTTTTTCAGCGTCGCGAGAACTTTTGTTTATTTTTACGTTTTCATTGGTTATTTGATAAAATAACATATTCTTGACACCTCTTATTTCGAAGAACTTTTCATGTAGTTTTTTATATGTAAATTTTAATTTTTTATTTCTATACCAATTTGTAAATAAAATAAATTGAAAAAACTTAATATTTTACTTTAGAAGTACAAGTGTAGCAAATATTTAGGAAAGGAGCAAATAGATTTTAGAGCAGAGACTAAGAAGTCACACTCACAAGACGGTTAGTTGTCAGAGAGAGAACATGTGATGCTGCCATGGCAGAGCCAAAGAAACACTCGTCAATCAATACATATAATGCGCGCATTCTCTCTCTTACTATAAATAAATAAATACTCTACTTTTTGTTTTTCCTTCAAAAACATATTATTACTCATTTTTTAAATACTCCGTAAATTATAATCCCCGTCCCATAATTTACTTCTCATATTGACCAAAAAAATATGACGAGTTTTTTTAAATTTTGTACTTTCACAATTAATTTACTTCTCTCCTTCCCCAAAATGTTTAGCATTTTACACAAATTGAAACAAAATTTCAAGTTTTTCAATTCATTTTAATTAGAGATTGATATAGAAATTAAAAAAAACTCTCTCATTTAAAATCTACGTTGAAAGCTTTATAAGTCAAAATGTGACAAAAATATTTTATTTTATCAAGAAACATTAAAAATATATAAATAAACAAAAATTATCATGAATTTGGAATAGTACAGAGTGAGTGTAAGAAAAGACACAATTCCGATTCCGACGTGACACAAAACTCACACATTTTAAAATTTTTTTATTCAAAAATTAGTATCGAAACACAAAATAAACTTATATATTCGAAGATTACGTCAAAAAAATCATACAGATAAATATTAAAAGCATAGACCAAAAAAATTAGAAAAAATTATCTTTAATAATCCCGCCTTTTCGCGCTCTTTTAAAAATAATCCCACTTTTCACTGTCACCGGAAATAATCCCACATTTTCGCATGTGTGCGAGTTTTGGATCACCGTTAAAAAACTAACGGTCACTTAACGGAAATTTTGAAAAATGCCCGTTTTTCGCAAATAAATGAAAGGTGGGATTATTTTAGGTAAATTCTCCCTTTTTCATTTTTTAATTTCTTTAAATGTATTTTTATTTTATTTTTTTTGGAAAAATACCAAATTTAAGTGTTTTTAAAGTGAAACTAATTGTTTTTTTTCAATAACCAATAATATGGTAATAATTAGAAAATAAATTATTCTACACAATAGAGCTAATTTATTAACTTCATAACTAACTACTCCCTCCATTTGGAAAAAGTGTTCCTCTTTTGACTTTGTGTAAAAATAAGGAAGTATTAAATTGTAGTTGACTTCCAATTTTGCCTTTGATGTGATAGGTAAAAGTAAGATGTGATGGATAGATTATTAGAGATAAAGTATGATGTGATAGGTAGGGTATGAAAAAGTAAGGATAAAAGTGGTTTTTTAATAGAAAGTGGAAGTATTTTGTTGGAAGGGAAAAAAATGAAAGAGGAAGTGTTTTTGATAACGGAGGGAGTACATTTTTTTGTAAGTTGCATTTACTGTATTTCTCTTGAGCTGCACTTCAAATTATTTTTTGATACTACATTATTATTATTTCTTAAAAAAATGGCACTACAAAACTTATGAATATTTTTCGATAGTTCTAAATAAATATTTTTTGTGAAACAACATTACAATAGTTGTGAAAATAACACAACAATTTTTTTCTCTAAAATAGAACTTTTATTTTTATAACTCACTACATTTTCTGATTTATTGCAATTTTTCCATGAACACTCTGAAATTTTTATTGATAATCTTATATTGCAATAAAATTTTCTTTCTAAAATGGAACTACCCAATTTGTGATTTTTTTAATAATTCAATACAAATTTTTCCCCAAAATAGTAATTCAAAAGTTGTGAAAATGACAATATTTTTTTCTCCGAAACGGAACCCATAAATTTTATAAATCACTACAAAATTTGTTAATCGTTAGACAAATCTCTAACAAGAGTGTATTGTTATATTTTTAAAAAATATTAATTTTAAATTCAAAACTAAAAAAGTAAAAAGTAATTTTTTCTAAAATAATCCCACCTTTCATTTATTTGCAAAAAACAGGCATTTTCAAAAACTTCCGTTAAGTGGTCGTTAGTTTTTTAACGGTGACCCAAAACTCGCACACATGCAAAAAGATGGGATTATTTCCGGTGACAATAAAAAGTGGGATTATTTTTGAAAGAGCGCGGAAAGGTGGGGATTATTTGAGATAATTTTTCCAAAAAATTATAAAGAGTTCAAAATAAGAATCTTATCATTAATAATGGCTTTGAGAACAAATTTAGAGATGTAACATCTGTTCAAAGTAGCAATTTCACACTATAAATACCTTTCATCAATCTTTCCCAAGTCCACTCACCAAAGCCCACCAACTCTCTTTTCCTTCAATTCATTCATTCATTAATTCTCATCTCTCTCTCTCTCTCTCTCTCTCTCTCTCACATCTATCAAATAATAATATACTCAACAATGGAGTATGACTATCATCCCCACACCCATTCATCCTCCTCCTCAGTGCCCACTCTAACCAGGAGCTATTCCCTCGCCGCTCCGACTCCGCCGCCCCGGCCCCTCCCCAGAAGCCTCTCTCAGAAGATCTCTTCTTCTTCTTCTTCGGCCTCTTCCAAGGCCCGGCTCTCGAAGAGCTCGACGTTCACCAGGAAATGTAGCAACTTGGCCAAGGAACAGAAGGCCAAGTTCTACATCGTCAGGCGGTGCATCGGCATGCTCGTCCGCTGGAGCAAGCACCGCCACGACTCCTGATGCATATCCCCAAGTTAGGCCTCGTTTTGTGGGAACGTCGTTTTCAATTAGCGTTTTGGATAATTTTAAAACGGTGTAGATTGACTTTGAAAGTGCTAAAGTTGAACGTTATTGTTAGATTTTCTTTTCAAAACGCTAAATCTAAACGTTAAAACCGTAGCCAAACCGGCACTTAGATTGTCCTTTTTTTTAGTTTGTGGAATTAATTGTTCACCTACCTTTATTCGTTAAACAAATGGCCTGGGAAATGGTCAAAGATATGCAGAGGCACTGAGATCTTTGTTTGTTTTGGTATTATAATTTTTTTTTCCTTCTTTTTGAGACATGAAGTAGTAGAAAAGTGTTGCAGAGGTTACAGAGTTGTCCCATTAGACTAATAAAAAAATGAAAATTGTGTGATTGGAATAGGTAAGTGTCCAACTTTTAATTTGATTATTTTGAAAATACTATCAGACAATAATTTTTAGGGTCACTTAGGGCCATTTCTTTATTTATCTGAATTGATATTGCATTAAAGTGGTGTTTTCCATTTCCATGCTTTTTTTTTGGATGCTGCTTCTAAATGGTCATACCTATGAAGAAATAAAATAAATATTTGTCTCTAACCATCCCCTCATTTGTTTGTGTGAGCATCTTTAATTTAGTGAGGGTAGTTTAAAAAAACTTTGTAGTTAAAAATCTTGCATTAAAGATACCTTAGATGACCTCATTTTGCTCAGGCCCACATGAGTATTGGGAGTCATTTGATTCATAAAATTTTCTTTATATAATTTGAACTTTTAAAGTTAAGCAAATTCATTCTTACTAGCACAAATTTTAACACATGATTTTTTATAAAAATAAAGGGATTATTGAGATAAGCTCTCTTTCTATCTCAAAATGGGTACCAGTATTACATCCTCTCGATAATATTTATTTATTTGTATGTTTTTATTGCTAATTTAATAAAATAAAATGTCATTGCCGCCTCTTGTATATAGAAATTTTTATGTACTTTTGAACAGTGTAATTTATATTTTTTTCTATACCAATTTATAATTAAAATAATTTTAAAAGTGATAGAATTTTACATGTTATTCAGAGTGTGACATCCAATATGGGACGGAAAGAGTTTTAGATTTGACCTCAATCTTATAAATTGAGGAAAATTAACACCAATTGAATTTTATAAACTGAAACAGACTATAAAATGAGAGTGAGGGAGTAATATTTAAGTATTTAAGTAGCTAAACTAAAACTACTCGAAGTGATGTTTACCAGACAAAACTAGGGATGACAACGGGTCGGGTTCGGGTCGGATAGTACTATACCCGAACCCGACCCGAAACCCGACCTTTTAAGCTAAAAACCCGACCCGAACCCGACTTTTAACCAATAACCAATTCGACGTATCCCAATAATTTTGAAATGATTAAATCTAATTTTTTTTCATGTCTCTTTTTTATGTCTCATTTTTTATTAAGGAATTATAAAAATGATTATAAAAAACATACTTGATATAGTAGCACTTTGCCAAGAAATTATACGGAGTGCTTATTATATATTCATAGATAGGCTTTAATGTAATAAAATATTCGGGTTTTAGTCGGGTCGGGTGCGGGTTCGGGTCGGGTAAAATTATAAATCCACACCCGACCCGACCCGATGTCGGATTCGGGTAAAAAATTTCGGGTCGGGTTCGGATTATTTTATTCTCGGTTCGGGTTCGGATATTTTAGTGGTCGGTCAGGTCGGTTAAGCTCGGGTTCGGGTTGAATTGCCATCCCTAGACAAAACTAAGAGCATGAACAATGGTGAGGTAAAAATGAAATGCCACACGTTGACGTGGAGCATTTCAACCAATAAAAAATAGTCCAATCAACGAGTGCATGTGAGTGGAGTGGCATGCCTTGCAGTGGCAAGTCATTGTTTTCATCACTTTTTTCATATTTTTGCCATATTTGAATTATTAAAAATTATTTTTCTTTTATATTTTTATCATGAAAATATTTCTATTTACTCAAATAAATAATTATATATATATTACAATGCAAAAACTCTCTTTTTTTAAAAATCATTTCATTTAAAAATCGGTATAAGAATTAAAAATAAAACTTATAAATTTAAAAATTACATCAAAAGTTCTACAAAAAAATGTGACACTAATTTTTTTAATTAAATAATCAAAGAAAACATACAAATAAATAAAAGATATCGAGAGGTGAGGGATAAAATTATAATCTATTACGAGATGAACAAAGTAAAAAATAATTCTATTACCACGCTCAAGACACGGAGTACATGGCAAATTGAATATGACTTGCGAGGCAAAAAAGAAAAAAGTGGGGCTTTGGCCTGAGGTGGGTGGCATGGCAGCCAAACCCCTCGCCACTGCCGCTGCTCTAAATATGTTTCATCCGCGTCAAATCAACCAATTAATTAAAAAATTAGTGTTTGGGAAATTTGAATTTCATTTGAACTACTGAATTTCAAATTCAAAATTTAAATTCTTGGATTTTAAACGACAGGGGGGACATTGTTGTAATTGAACTTTATTGGAAATTAGAAAAAAGGCAAATCCAAATCTGACTTTTTTAGATTCTCAAACATATAATTTGTGTTAAATCTGGATTTCGAATAAAATCCAAATCTAAATTTCCAAATCTAATTTTCACTTGATAAAAATGGGTCCAAAATAATGGCATGTTACTGGTGGGTCTCTCGCGATTAGCAAAATATATGGGTGGGTGATGATGGACTGATGAGCAGAGACCCAAAAACAGAGGCAATAAGGACAAATACTTCAAAATGGACACAATTCATGGTGACAGATTTCTGAACCCAAACATGATTTATTACAGAAGAAGAAGAAGAAAAAGAAAAGACATTATATATATATACACACACACACACACACACATGACCCATGACCCATCCTGCAAAATATGTCAATTTTGCCCTCCCATCCCACCCCACATCCATCCTGTCTGCTCCTAATTCATCCCACTGTTTGGAACACAAAATCGTTTCCACTCATAAGAATAGGTTATCAAAATAATAATAATAATAATTAGTGTAATAAATAACCTGCCAATGGACTGAACTAAGAAAAGGTTTGGGTCTTCCCTAGCAGCAATGTCTTCCAATTTGGAGTGTCCCAGCTGATAATGTCACAAAATAATTATTACTAATTTCATTAATCAATCAGGACCCGGGCCAACATGAGGCCACAGATGGTCAAAAACCATTATTCTTATTATTACTAGTGATTTTTCAGTATGAGACTTTTGACAATCAACACTGTTATAATAAGATTGGTCTGTACTTTCGCTCTCTGAAAGCCCGTTACACATTCAAGAACCAGTATTCAAAACATTGTTACCCCAAGTTTAGTAAATATGTTACCTCCAAGTTGGGTGTTGCAACGGGCTTGGCATTCTGAACATAGGAGGAGGTCGCCTTCGAAGCCAAGGGTCGTTAAACACCAACGTATCCTCCTACCCATTGCCAACATGTTCAAGGCACTTTGCTATATAAAAAAAGATACATACAAGTTATATATTACTACGTACAAATTTAGTAAACCGAAACAGAACATTTTTAAAGAATATCATTAGGGTTCATACAGACAAACAACGAGCCAACAAAGCCAGTGTAATGTCAACTTTGTTGGGATTTAAGGGGTCAAGATGCAGGTAGACTTACCCATGTAAAAAATGAAAAGGCTTTTTTTTGTTAGAGGCTCGATGCATTACCGCATTTATTGCCCCAAACTTCTTGAACTAAGAAGGGAATTTTAACGTGTCATTTTGAGTTAGTCCATTATTTATCCGAAGATAACAACATTGTTAAAAAATGACTCTATTAGCTCCATTTGCAATAATCAATAATGGACACAATCATTAGGATTCATGATTCATTGAAACTATATATTGTCACAATTCAAACGTTGTACCTTGATCAAATATGACTTTGACTTGCAAAAATTCAAAACTTGTTCGAATATGACTTTTCTAAAATCATAAAGAATAATACTCCCTCCGTCCGGGAAAAATCTTCCCATTTGGACTTTTCTTCATTTTTTTGAAGGATTGACTATGAGTGTAATTTCCCCAAAATGCCCTCCCTCTCCATCCTTACCAGCTCTAACCCAATTCCAATTGTTGCCGCCAGCTCCTCCATGACCTAGTCCCAATTGTNCCCCCCCCACCTGGTGCAGATCTAAAACAAGAGGAGAAAGAAAAAAGGAGAAGAAGAAAAGAGGAAGAAGTGTATATCTAGAGACTAGACTCACCATCGCCATCATCGTCACTGCCAACCGCCACCGTCATCACTATCACAATTGCAGTCATCGCTGTTACAATTATCGCCATGCTCAGATCTAGAAGATGGAAGAAGAATAAGAAGGGAGAATAAGAAAATGAAAAATGGAGGGGGGGAGAAGAGAGGAGATAGGCAGGGGAAGATCGGAAGAGGGAGAGAGAGAGAAGAAGAAGAAGAAGACGAAGAAGAAGAAAGGGTGCAGCAGGGAAGGGTAGATTTAGAGACGGGTAGGGTAGATCTAGGAAAATTGAGAGTAAATGAAATTTATTCATAAGGGTATTTTTGCAAGAATTTGGGTTAAAATTAGAAATGGGAAGATTCTTTCCGGACGAGAGAAAATGAGAAACGGGAAGATTATTTCCGGACGGAGGGAGTAACTATATTTGAAGAATACTTCATGTCTTTGAAGGAATACTAAAATATATAGAAGTAATAGGGGTTTTAAATATTAAAAAAATGTCCCTTTGCTCTTATCCATACTCCTTCCCATCAAACTGTGTCCTTTTGTTGAAAAAATGGGGGGCTGCTCCATAAGCATAGTGATGTTTTGCAATTTTGAGTACTTCAACGCTCCAAGAGCTAAAAGAGTCAATTATTGACAATATTTTATTCTTAGGGAAATAACAGACTTATTCAAAATGGCACATTAAACATCCTTTTCTTCTTTCTTTATATGAAGATTTGGATAGTCAATATAGCAATGTGTCAAGGTATAAGGGAAACGGCCTATTCAAAACACATAGATCGTCCTCATAAAATTTTACACAGATCATCTTCATTCATCATTCCACAATAGAGAGCACAGTTCGTCATAATTCAAACAATGTGAAGAATGGGTGTCATATAAACGGATGTAGGATTAGCCTTCTTCATGTATGTGTGTGCGCGTCAGTGTGTGCGTGTGTGTTAAAGAGAGGGTGATGCTAATTTACGGTAGGTATTAGTATGTCTTACAAAATGCACTCACTCAGCGAACATATTGCGCTTATTTAAATATATCAGGTCAGCCTTCAATGCCTTCAAATCTTTATTTATCATGTAAGAGTATATCTATAGCAAAATTCATGTTAGATTTAAACAGGAAACAAGCACTAATATTTGTCCTGATATATTATTCAATTTTTTCACATATAGTATTTCTTGTCAAATGCATACTTCATGACTAAGGCTGTGATAATGGAAACAACAAAGAAAACTTACATAAAATATTTCTTGTCAAAGGCATACTTCATGACTAGAAGGCTGTGATAATGGAAACAACAAAGAAAACTTAAAGCCAGAGAAGTATAGGACAGAAACAAGAAATGATGGGTTGCATAATTTCATATGTAGAAAAAGAAAATGTGATCTAAAGATATGTATGTTACCTTCACCATGAGTTCAGTAATGTAGCTTTACATCCCATCAAACCATCACTCCTGGGTGGTCAAAGCATTCCCCTACACTAGATGACACGGTCTTCTTCAAACTTGGGAAGAAAAGCTTTTTTTACCGTTTTTTTCCTCTCAGAAATCAGTCATCATTACATAAAGTTTTAAATGCAAAAGCATCCAAATTGATGCCTTCATTCCTAATTTGGTCTAACAGCTCCAAAGCCCTATTCACTTGTCCAAGTCTCTTGTATGCACGGATCAAGATAGTATATGTCACGACATCAGGAGGAATGTTCTTCCTTCTCATTTCATCTAGCACCATGTTGGCCATATCTATACGATTGACCCTGCAGTATCCATCTATTAGACAAGTATAAGTAACAACAGAAGGCAAGATTTCCCCAAGTGCCATTTCATTAAACAATCTCAATGCTCTGCTCATATCTCCAACTCTACAAAATCCAGCTATAACAGACGTGTACGAGACATTATCAGGTCTCAATCCCTGAAAGGTTATTTCCCTAAAAAGTCTGTAGGCGTCATTTAATTCACCCATTCTGCAAAACATTGTAATGAGAATTGTATACAGAGTTGTATCTGGTGTAACCCCAACTTTTAACATTCTTGTGTACACCTGCAAGGCCTTCTTAATATTGAACTGTTGAGTAAAACCATTAATAAGTGTGCCATAGTTCACAACCCCAGGCAATATATCCATCTTAAGCATCAAAGGAAATAATTCTAGTGCCTTCTCTGCATTTCCTTTGCTACAGAAGCCATTAATAATGTAATTGAAGGTAAAGATATCAGGGTAATGGCCTTCTTTTATCATAGCTCTGAGAAGCTCCAAGGCTTCACCAATGGAGCCAATCTTGCAAAAAGAATGAATCAAGTTGTTATAATTTAAAGCACTAGGAGTCAGGCTATTATTGGTCATCTTCTCCAAGAACTTATGAGCGTAGAACAAATCACCATGCAAGCAAAACCCGTTTAGTAAGATATTGTGAGCAACCTGGTCATGCTTATAGCCATATTCCTCTATCTGATAAAACAAATCAAGTGAGATTTCCATTTGTGCACTTCTGCAAAGACCATTCAAGAGTGAAGTGTAAGTAACCAGGGATGGTTTTATGTTAATAGCTTCCATCTCCATTATTAAAGAAAGACTTTTCTCAGTGCTGCCCTGTTTCGAAAATCCATCAACCAAAATGCTATAGCTGTACAAATCTGGTGGAACTCCACTACTCATCATTTCTTCAAAAAGATTAGTGGCCTCAACTAGTTCACCTTTTGCACACAATCCATGTATAACAGCATTATAGCAATACGAATTTAGCAATTCATTTTTATGCCTCATGTCTCGAAGGTAATCCAAAGCAAAGTAAACACAACCAGTTCTACAAAGTCCATGGATATAAACGCTGTGTGTTACAACAGATGGACTAACCCCTCTCTTAGCCATTTCCATCATAATATCAGTGGCTCTTTCTAGATCCACCTTATGTTGAGCATGGTTCTTACAGCAGTAGAAGTTCACCATAATTGTATATGTATAAACATTGGGTGATGGGCCAGATCTCTTCATCTCTTCAAACAATGTTTGTAGAAGTTCCTTCCTTCTTGCTTCGGCCAAACATTTCAGTAAGAAATTGCATGAGAAATTACTTAATCTAAACCCAAGTTTTCTACCCTTGAAATATGCATAAACACCATCTTCAAACATTTTATTCGCAGCAAATACCTTGATCAGAACATCAACCACCAAAGCGGATACTTTTGAATCGTTGGGTGAAGCCAACAAAAGTGGAAATATCTTAACCAAATCAAACTCGCCCTTTGGGAAATTGAGAACAATATCTTTAAGCATTGCATACACTTCCATATGCATTCCAACACATGCAAAGATATGAACACACATCATAAAGGCATTGATTGATTGGAAAAGACCATACATTTCTGTTGCTATGCCGAATCTAATTTGTCTAGCTGTCTCCCACCTCAGTGATTTGTACACTGTCACAACAACTGAGCATAATTTTGGTGAGTAGCACATATGCATTCTCTTCCTAGGAATAGTTGGAAGAAATGGTTCATATTTACACATGTATTTTCCATTCAAACGATAATCATGATCTTCCAATAATAAAGCTGAAGAAACACCGCAAAAATTTTGACGATACAATCCAACAATGATTTTACTCCTTCCACAAACCTTTGATCCTTTTAGAATCGTGGAAGTATAATAGCAACATGACTTTCTTGCCAGTGGGGAGAAGCCCATACAGCTAACTCTTGATCTATAGAGTAATATTCTTGTTTCCCGACAAATGAGGTCTCTCCCTATCAGTCTACACTCCACATAACATCATATCTATATCACCATTCAACCTAAAGAGGAATGCACAAGAACACAGTCTAGAATGAGCATGGTTATTAAAGAACAATCACAAGCCCTAATGACAAAATAAAGAACCATAGAAATTTATTCTCTGCTTCAACATGCACCTTTGGGACAGAATTGGTGATGATAGTGTTGATTTGTTCGAAGAAAATGGAAGTGATGTGAAATAGATAAGACCCAAAATTTGAAGAGCACAATGAATTATATAAATTCATTTGTTTGGCATAAAAAAAAGCAATCAACTTTGAACATTGATTGTTTCTTTTTATGAAAAGACTAAATAGATTTTAATCCATTCAAATCTAAGGCTATATAGGGTTTGAAATGAACAAAGCACTTATCCTTATAATCTTGAAGTACTACTACTTTGTAGTTTGTCCTAGACGTTTAGATCAATGCGAATTCTCTGCTTAATGGTGACTCAAATTCACCATCTCCATGACCAAGTTCAACCTACGAAGACGACAAGTGTGTTTGGATAACATAATGCAATTATTAAGTCGTGAAATTACTTGGTTCATAACATAGCTGTGTAATTACGAACTTCCTCATCTCAAATTAATTTGACACTTTATTACTCCGCATGAGAAAGGCGGGTATGAGAAACATATTCGGGCGCAGCTCTGCGAACGGAAAAGCTTACCTGATCTCCTCCTCCGGCACGCGCAGGTCCTTCTCCGGCGTTGTTGGAATCGCGGACGGTCTTCTCCGGCGCAGCAGGGGAGCTTGGGTCTTCCTTTTCCGGTCCCGTCAGACAATGCTGGGTAAAGGAGTTTAAATGGTCATTTTGCCATTTTGGGCTTTTGGCCAATTCACTTTTAGTACGAAAGGATTCGAAACCGAAACATTCAAAGAATGAAGATGGGATTTATAATAGAATAACATAAATTGATTCAAATCGAATTGAAACTGAACTAAATAAATTGAATTAAGCTAGGGGTACACCAACATGGGGTACCCCAAGTGTACACCAAGCCAACACAGACACACAGACACAAAGTGTCTGTGTTGCACAGACATTTTATGTATGTGTGTGTCTGTGTTGGCTTGGTGTACATTTGGGATACCCATGTTGGTGTACCCCTAGCATTGCCCAAATAAATTTATACCCAATTCAAACCCAAAACCGACTAGATCTGACAATTAGATCTGAAACTGAATAAATTTGAAATCGGTTAAATCTCAAATCGATAAAACTCGAAACTGATAAGATCCGAAACCGATAAGACCTGATATTGATAAGATTTGAAATCGATTATACCCGAAATTAATTTTGTCTGATAATAGATATTTTATATTTATGTACATATTGAACAATTACATTTGATTTCATTTTTTTACTACCTCCGTCCCATTTTAAATTGCTTGTTTGCCTTTTTCTCCGTCCCAAAATAAATTGTCTGTTAGTTGTTTTCGTAAACTTTTAAAAATAAAATATCTAAACTACCTCTAAAATAAGTCACTCTTCTCTACATTATATTCTCATTCATCATCATATCTCCTAAAAGTATTGACAATTTCGAAAAATCAACTCTATTTTTACTTTTCCTTAAATATGCCCAAAAATCAAAACGGGCGATTTAAAACGGGACGGAGGGAGTACCACTTTAACTAGTTATAAACTTATACTCCGTATTTTACTAGTTACTAGTATCACACCCGTGTGTTGCACGGGTAGGACTGTGCATCGGTCCAAACTCGGACCGGACCGGGACCGAATAAGGGCAAACTAATGGACCGGGGACCGGACCGATAAAGTGTAAGACCAGACCGGCCCGAATAAGGACCGAATAAGGGGAGAATGGCAGTTTCTTTGGAATTTAATAGAATTGAGAAAAACAATATACTCCAATGCTCCAAACAACATACTTCAATATTCCAAAAAGTCCCAAAATCAATAGTCAATACAAACAACCATATTCAAATATCCAATCACAATTCATAGGTTTTAACTCAAAGCAAATTAGAATATCTAAGTTAAAATTTCACACTAACTCCAACAGATAACGTAAAAACCATAAATGTATATTGTCAAATATTTATAATATAATAATTCATGAAATCTTGATCTTGAACCAAAGTCCACACTCCCAAGAAGGCAAGACTTCTGAGTTCCAATATTCTTGAGCCCTTGAATATGCAAAATATATATATATATATATATATATATATATATATATATATAGCAATGAATTCATGCAATTTTATAAATAAATTTAACACAAAAAATTTCAAAGTAATATGGAATCAAGTTTAATCTTACCCGTTACCGCACATCAAAGTCTTAAAACATCAGCGGTATCCACAACACAATCATGAACACTCAAGTTTGCCATATCTAGTAAAACAAATATCCAAGTGATTTTGGTAAAAAGGATAGGTCATAACTCATAAGCTTAAGCCAAAGAAATGCATTTGAAAAATAAAAACAATATGCTAAAGTACTAATTGTAATTGTTACCTTTTTCAACTAATTTTAACTCATCGAGTGTTTCTTCCATGTCAATCTTCTTAGATGTCTTTAGCCAATCTTGAGAACATATCAAAGCTTGTACCATCTTTAAAAAAAGTCAGAAAAAATATAAATACAAGAGAAAGTTTAAGTAGTTAAGGTAAAGAGTTGACCTTTGGAGTTAAAGATGTTCGGAATGCATCAAGATGACGTCCTCCTGTACTGAATGCAGACTCTGATGCTACGGTAGAAACAGGCACAACCAAAATATCACGTGCCATACGAGCAAGCACAGGATATCGAGGACCGTGGACACGCCACCAACCTAATAAATCATCCCCCACTTCCGAATCTTCTTCAAGTCCCTCATTCAAATATTTTTGTAGCTCTGTTCCTCTTGCCCTTTGTGTCCCTTTCAACCTTTTCTGTAACTGTTGAGCATATGTTTGACCTGACATAGATGTAGCATTTTCCAATTCATTGAGAATCTCACTACTCTGCCCGCTTTGAGCTTGAGATGGCTTATAAAGTTGCCAATACTCATCAAATAGTGTGTCAACACTCCCCTTCACTTTTTCCATAATGCTATCACCACTTGTTGCCCCAAATAGGTCACACACACATATTTCTAAACCCTCCAACTTATATCTAGGATCAAAAATAGGAGCAATATACACCAAGGTGTTCAACTTCTCTAGCCTCCCATAATATTTTTCAAATTTCAACTTCATACGGTTAACCATTTCTTTGAAGTTTTTCACCATAACTTCATCTTCTTCACCCTCTACACCAATCTCTATATCTTGAACATCAATCACCTCATCAATATCTTCAAGATTTTGCAACATCTTATATATAGCCACAATCTCAAAAAAGAGTAAGTTAGATGTCACATAGGAAGTACCAGACAAATGCAAAGTAGCATTATAGAAAGCCTCCAAAAAAACCATCAAATGTTTAGCTTGAACCCAATCTTTAGCATTAGGAGGTCTATCTACTTTATCAACTTTATCCTTTGAGAAATCAATAACAAAGTAGGGATCAATTTTGGCATACTTCAAAAAAGCATTTTCATACTTTTGTGCAACATTGAGCATTTTATAAGTAGAGTTCCATCTTGTGGGAGTATCTAAACATAAAGATGCTTTACACTCAATTTTTTCAGCAAGTGCACATTCATAAAATCTTGCCTCTCTACTTGGTGATTGTCTAATAAACTTTACCGCAGCTCGAATGCGACTCACTGACTTCCCCACTACTTTCAAACCATCCCACACCACTAAATTAAGAATATGGGCAACACATCTAACATGCAAAAAATTTCCATTTGAGAAGAGATGATGTTGAGTTCTTTTGAAATCTTCAACAAGAGCAGTACATGCAGTACTATTGCTCCCGACATAATCAAGAGTAATGGTATATAATTTATCCAACAAGCCACAATCATCCAAACACATTGTAAGTGCAAGAGCAATAGCATCACCTTTATGGCTAGAAATGGTACAAAAACTAATAATCCTTTTTTGCAATTTCCAATCATTATCAACAAAATGTGCAGTCACACACATATAATTTAACCTCTGTAGAGAAGTCCATGTATCAGTGGTCACAAGAACTCTTTGGCATGCATTCACAAGATGTTCTTTCAATAAGACTCTTTCATTGACATACAATTGATAAACATCTCGTGCAATAGTCGTACGGGAAGGCACTTTAAGTTCGGGAGCTAAAACAGACAACATTAACTTAAACTCGTCCTTTTCAACATGTCGAAAAGGCAACTCATCAATCACAATATGTTTTACTATGGCTAATCTAGCTTCATGAGGGCCAGAAATCCAACTTTTTAACTTTGCTTCTCCTTCATTATTTGAGTCTCTTTCCAAAACCAATTGCGTTTGAACTTCTTTGGATTTATTCTTAGGATTTTCAGGACACTTGGAGATGTGATTATTTAAATTTTTGGTTTCATTCTTATCAGAGTCAGCCTTATACACTTTACCACAATAATTGCACTCACCTGCAACTCGTCTGCCATTCTCTTTAATTTCCTTAAAGTGCTTCCAACATCCGGATCTCGGTTGGAACTTTCTCACCACTTGTTTACTTGTTCTGCTAGGTTCAGATGTCATCTGCACATCTTCATTTAAAGGTTCTGTCGCATTGTCCTCACTTGTCATTTGTATATCAGTGTCAATATTTTCTCCCGTGCTTGATAGATATGGTCTTTTGGAATGAGAACTAGACGTCTCTGTTAAACATAATAAATATAACCATTCATATAAATTTCAAAACTAAATAAGTAAAACAAATCAAAAAAATTGAAGAGAAACATTTTCAGAAAAGGCTTCAACGAGCATTAAAATTTATAACAAAAAAAAACTTATGTTTAAAGTCAAATATTGAAAATTAAATGTTGCTTTTGTTCCTTACGATTTTAATTATGTATATGAAGAACTTCAAGCATATATGAAGTATATATATGACATAGATGATTCAAAGCAAGAATCTGGACCAAGTGGCTGGAAATCAGGACAAAATTGCAAATTAGTTAACCCTATGACATTTTAGCAAGAATCTACAAGTTGAGAATTGGACAGAGTTGCGTACGTGCGAAGTGCAGACGGAGTGGACGACTGCTGAAAGCCCTGCGATTGCCGGAGAACCTGCTACGCTGCGCCGGTGTGTGAGTGCGTCTGTACTGTGCGTGTCGGCCGTGTCCTTTGAGTTTTCTTCCGCAATCGACAGTGGCTAGGGCTGTTTTCTTCGGTCGGCGACTGAGTGCGACTCTGTGTGGCGATTTGGTTTTTCTTTGGCGATTGCATAAGTGGATGAGCTACTGGACTAATGGACTAAGTTGGATTATTGGGTATTGACATTAGTGAGTATATAAATTAAGCCCTAAAGGCTAAAGCCCATCACCGGGTTTGGACCGGACCGGAACCCGGATAACAAAAATTTATGGACCGGAGACCGGACCGAATTAGGACCGGTTCGGACCGGTCCGGTCTGGTTTTGGCCGGTCTTCGGGTCGGTCCGGGTTTGGACCGAATAATGCACATCCTTATGCACGGGTCATAGTTAAGTTACTAAATTAAGATCATTTTTAAGAATATAAATTGGTATATATTGTAATGTAGAGATTTCATTATTTTAAAGTACATAAAATATTTATAAACTTTCAAAGACTTCTTTATAAACTACATTGCTCGTATAATTCATGTGAGCATTCATTTCGTTGTATATCAGGATCTTCAAGCCATTGCGATTTATTACTTCTGAACAGGTTTCCGTAACAATAATTTAACATGTTTCAAATATTGTCCCTGACAAAAATTCAACAATTTGACTTATCTAAGAAATAATTCAACACATTAATGTATTTATTTTGGAATTTGTAGTTTTTTAATTTTATTTTCGTATTTAAATGGTACCATTTACTTACCACACGGTATTTATTTTTTATTCTATTTTAGATCACTTACCGTTTTTACACGTGTCCATACTTGTAAATTATAGTATTAATAGTAGTATTGATTTTAGAACACTTACCATCATCTTTCCATGCTTATAGTATTAATAGTATTAATTTATATTTTTTTTATTTTTGCATTTAAATGCTACCATTTACTTACTGTACCGCATTTATTTTTAAATTTATTTGACAACACTTACCATTCTTACACGTTTCCATGCTTGTAAATTGTAGTATTAATTAATAGTATTAATATGTAGTTTTTCTATTTTATTTTTGTATTTAAATGATATCATTTACTTACCATACCGTATTTATTTTCTAATATATTTTAGAACACTTACCATTTTGATATTTGTTTTATATTCTAATTTATTTAGAACACTTACCTAATTTATTTTAAAACACTTAACATTTATTTTATTTTTGTATTAAAATGGTACCATTTGCTTACCATGCTGACGTACCGTATTTATTTTCTAATTTTCTAATTAGAACACTTACCTTTTTTGAAAAGATTTTCATGTTTGTAAATTATAGTATTGATATCAATTTTGCAATTTTTTCGTATTTAAATGGTACTAATTACTTACCGAACCAAAATTATTTTCTAATTTATTTTAGAACACTTATCATTTTTAGATGTATTTTACTTTCTATTTTATTTTAGAACACTTACCTAATTTATTTCAGAACACTTACCATTTTTTAGTTTTCATTTTTAAATGGTTCCAAGTACTTACCGTACCATACCGTATTTATTTTCTAATTTTCTAATTAGAACACTTATAATTTTTAAAACGTTTCCATGCTTGTAAATTATATTATTAATATTAATTTTTAGTTTTTTATTTTATTTTTGTATTTAAATGTTACCATTTACTTACCGTACCATATTTATTTTCTAATTTATTTTAGAAAACTTACCATTTTTACATGTTCGTGCTTGTAAATGATAATATTTTTTTAAAGTAACTAATTAATTTGTACATAGTTTTTTTGAAATAAATAATTCTAATCCCGCCCATAATTTATTAATTTGTAGTTTTTTAATTTTATTTTCATATTTAAATGATGCTTTATTTTATTTCCATACTATAATTTCCTAGTGGTTCACTACTATTTAATTTAAATACCTAAATGGTGTAACATTTGAATAAAAATGAAAACATACTTAAAATGGAAGGAAAATATTGAGGCAAAGTAATTAAACTACTATTTGTGTTGTCAACACTTTCCATATATGAGTCTCATGTATGGGCGGGAAAACATTAACCTGTTTTTAAATAAAGTATAGATAATTTATTAATTTGTAGTTTTTTAATTTTATTTTCATATTTAAATGATGCTTTATTTTATTTCCATACTATAATTTCCTAGTGGTTCACTACTATTTAATTTAAATACCTAAATGGTGTAACATTTGAATAAAAATGAAAACATACTTAAAATGGAAGGAAAATATTGAGGCAAAGTAATTAAACTACCATTTGTGTTGTCAACACTTTCCATATATGAGTATCATGTATGGGCGAGAAAACATTCACCTGTTTTTAAATAAAGTATAGATATAGATATTACTTAATTCTTTTCCATTTCTACATAAATGTCACGGAAGCAATTTTACATGTCAAATTTGTAGAACTTAGAATCCCTTTTATATATATATATAAAGAAAATTATTTTTTTACATTATGTTTTAATACTATTTGATTTTATAAATTTTATTTTCCAATATAAACATATATATTTTAATCTCAATTTAGAGTTTATTCTAAAAAAAGCGAAATGGATAAAATGAGATACAAGCAAGAAAAAATATAAAAAATACTCTAAGAATTTTGTGATTTTGTGTTAACAGTCTGAAACTCAATAATTTACACCAGTACTCTAAAAAATTATTCAATTTCACACCAATACTTCACGAAACCAATTAAGCTGAATATATGACATTTTAAATAGTGACTGAATAATTACTAAATATGAGTTAATAATTATTTACAAAAATAAAAAAATACCTTTAATGCGTTATAATTACCCCCTCGATGTCGACTTATAATAAAAATGAATCAAAACTGAAAAAATAAAGTGTTTATATTTTAATCGTATAAATTATGAATAGTGTTTTAAAAAATTAGAGAATTTTAAAATTGATATAATGCCGAATTTATATAAATTTGTTAATGAAATATTTACTTCAATTTTCTTTATTTTGTTTGAAAAATTATTTTTCTTTATTTTTTATCACTCCGTAGTTACTGCTACATACTTAATAATTTATAGACTTCATTTAAAATGTCATATATTCTACACAGTTGGAAGTGTGAAGTATTGATATAAACTTGGGCAATTTCTTGAAGTACTTGTATAAGTTATTAAATTTTAGATTATTAATCACAATATTTTAAAGTATTTGTGTGAATTTTTTAGTAAAGACAATAGATGAAATTAGAAAAAAAGTAAAAGGAGTTTGAGCTTTGAAGAAGATATATACTCCCTCCGTCCCCCAAAACATTACCCATTTTGATGTATTTTTGGTCAAACAGTTACACGCTTTGAGCATAAATTAAATATAATCTAAATAAAGAAATGTTATAAAAATTTGATATATCAAAACTAGATCCTAAAATGAATCAAATTATATTAAATTTATATTATAATTCTATATATTTTTTTCACAATTTGTAATCAAAGCGTATAATAATTTAACCAAATACTATTCAAAATAAGTAATGTTTTGTGGGACGGAGAGAGTATAAGAGGAGAGATAATGATGAACCAAAAAAATTTCCCATTCCTCCCACCCCAAAGCCCCATTGCCCCCCTAGATTTTATATGCAAAAATAGTACTCCTATATATAGTACTCCGTAATTGATTCCCTTTTCAGAGTTGTTGAAAAACAAAACCCTAAAAGGGTTCTCTGCTAGAAAAATCGCCGCCAGCTCCATTTTTATCTCAACTTCACCCCAGTCTATACCCTTCGTAGACCTTCTACCAGTTATGCGCTTTCTGGCTCTTCAAGACTCTTTCTTGAAATTCATTTGTGTGTTCTTTTTCGACCGTTCCCAGTAATAGGTTTGAAGTAAGAATTCTTTTTTGGTTTGTGATCAGAGAGCTATATCTTTCTTTATTTTACTCAGAACCACAGACGTATTATGTACATGTGTAAGCGTAAATCTGTGATTTTTAGGTTTTCAAGCTTGAGTTTTTAAAGAGTTTAGGATTTAGATTACCCAGGCCGTTTCGATTAAGTTTTCGAGCTTTTTAGGGAGGGCTGGTGGTTTTTGTGGGATTACTGAGTGATCGTTTGATCTTTGAGATTGTGAATAAGTTTTCTGAATTTAGGCCAATGATGGGGAGCAATGAAAATTCGTTTGGGGATGATCTGGAGAAGGAGTTAGGACTGTTGCTTAGTGAGCAGAGGCGTCAAGAAGCTGATGATCTTGAAAAGGAGCTGAATTTGTATAGAAGTGGTTCAGCTCCTCCAACTGTAGAGGGCTCTTTTACGGCAGCAGGTGGTCTGCTTAGACAAGGCGGCGGCACTGGCTTTGGAGGTGTAGGTTTCTCCCCCGTTCAGGAATTCGCTCGGAGTGAAAACGGAAATGTGTTTTTATCTGATGACGAACTTAGGTCTCATCCGGCATACTCATCTTACTATTATGCTAATGTGAATCTGAACCCTAGGTTACCCCCTCCTCTCATGTCCAAAGAGGATTGGAGGTTTGCTAAGAGATTACAAGTAGGGAGTTCTGTTGTAGGGGACAGGACAAATGTGAACAACAATGGTAGTTCCACCACTGGCAGATCACCTCTTTCCATGCCACCTGGATTTAACCCGACTAAAGAGGAAATCAAGAATGAATCAGTGGCTTCAGTTGAGTGGGGCAGTGATGGTTTGATTGGTTTACAAGGATTAGGATTGGGTGCCAACCAGAAGAGCATAGCTGAGATATTTCAGGTGAGTATATGAATAACTATTTGTCTTCACCCATGTCTAATTTCTGTTTTTCTGATGAATGAATTTGGTACAAATATATAATCTGGTTTTATGCTCTCAATTTTGATTGTGTTTGCTGCTTTGAAATGTCAATCGTGCAATGCATTTCAAATTCATATGATTCATTTCTCTCAACCATGGTGTGCATGTGAATTCTTTATGTGCGATTCTTTTAATTGCTTCAAGGTTCCTGCCTTCGTTTTATATATCCCCCAGTTTTTTAACCTTTTAACTCTAAGCCACTTTCTTGATCGGCTGTCTAAATTGGTGTATGCTCAAGCTAAACTTGTTTGTTTAGCATTTGTTGAAAATTTGCAAATCTGATTAATTATACTCATTTATTTTCTTGAAGCTATTTATTCATCATGAAGGTGTTTCCATTTTTTCCACTATAGTCAATTACCTAATAATAAGTAGGTCTCTTGAATTATCAGTTGTAAATACACCCAACCACACATATGCCTTGATTTCATTTAGTGTCTTGAACATAGGAAAGTATTCTTATTCAGTTATTTGGAAGGAATACTTCTGTACTCTCATCAGTGATAATCTTGTAATTTCTGCTCTGAGCATGATATTTCAAGCTGTAGTCTTTTTTTGCTTCAACACAGCATTATCTATCAAGTAAGGTATCACATTTTGTATTTTCTCTTTTACTTGATGAGTGTTTCTAATTTGTGATTCGTGTAGGATGACCTCGATTGTGCCCCTTCATTGGGTAGTCACATTTCCCGCCCAACTAGCCGCAATGCATATGTTGGTAGTGAAGATTCTCTACCCCCTGCAGAATCTGAGTTTTCTCACCTTCATCATGACTTATCGTCCTCAGACCCATTAAGGTCTTCAGCAAATGCCAATAGACCATCGGTTGCTCATCATGCTGGTTTGCCCCCATCATCATATTCATATGCTGCGGTTCTGGGTTCCTCCTTGTCAAGGAGCACCACGCCCGACACTAAACGTGTTGCCACCTCTCCTAGTCCTTCTGTTACTCCTATTGGTGGTGGGAGGATTGCTACACCCGACAAAAAACATATAAATAAACTGAACACATTTGACGGTGTATCCTCTCATATAAATGATCCCACAGATATGGTTGCTGCTTTTTCTAGCATGAACCTCTCAAATGGTATGGTAGTCTATAAAATCTATTTTTTTTAGTTAATACATTTTTAATCTCTTGATTATGTACTACTTGCTCCTTCCCAAAATCAATTTCCTTCTTTCTTTTTTTGATGTCCCAAAATAAACTTCCCATTTTAAGGATTGAAATTTGTTGTTCATATTTTTTTCTCTGCACAAACTTTAACCATACAATTCCACTTCTTTTGAACTATGTGCCATTTTTCACATGGCAAATGAATTTTGAGACGAAGGGATAATTACTCAGTTCGGTCTTCATTTTCCTTTTCAATTCAATTTTGTCCTTGACAATGCAATTTAATCTCGATTTAGTCCCTGCACATATTTTTTTATTATCATTATTAAGTATTTATGTTGGCTTATGACAAACTTTGTTCCAAGCTACATATATGATCATGGTTGTTAAGTCGACAAGTCGAGTCGAGTCGGTGACAGGGAGACTAGTGGACTAGGCGACTAGTCGTAGACTAGGCGACAAATCACAATTAGTATTAAAATTTTTAACATTATATATATCTATATTAACCCAACATGAATATATATATATATATATATATATATATATATATATATTTATATATATTTATATGTCAAAACACCATAACCAAAGCAAACTTATGTTTAAAGATAGCACATAAAGTCACTTAACAAAAAGTACATAACAAACAAATATCCTTCAATCTTTAAAAATAACCCACCAAGAAAGATAATTAACCAAATAAGAAGTCAAAGGACATATTAAAATAGTTAATTGCATGTTTTGAGTTATCAAAAACTGAAATAAAAAAAAATTGAAATATTAAACTGAAAAAAAACTGAAATACTAGAATAAGGAAAATATTAAAATATTAACTGAAATCAGAAAAAAAAACTGAAATATTAAAAAAATAGAAGAAAACTGAAAATTTTAAAGTATATTATATTTTATAGTTTAATGAACCAAATCAATGAAAATTAAATCAAATAGAGTACACTTTAATGATAACAAAGTAAAAGAAATCTTACCCATGGAGGAGAGTCGCTGCTGGAGGCTGATGGAGGAGAATGGATAGAGGAGAGTCGCTGGCTGGAAGTCGCGGAAGTCACCCTGGAACGGGAAGCCTAGAGTCGCGAACCTCCAGACTGCCGATTGTGGATGGATTGCGTCGAAGACTCGAAGGAGGCAGTGTTTTATAAAAAATTTTAAAAATTAATGAAATTTGGGTCGGGTCGGGTCGGGTCAATTGAATTAGGTCAAAATCGGCCAACTTTTTTCACCGGTTAGGCGTCGCCTAATCGCGGCTAAGCGCGCTTAATAGCCTAGTCGGCCATAGGCGCTAGTCGTACAGCAAATCTCCATGGCAAAACCGCCCGGACGACTAGTCGGCGACTAGTCGTAGCCTAGGCGACGACTTGACAACCATGTATATGATGACCATATTCATGATTTTAAAAGCCAACCGAGGCAGTCCGCCTCGAGGTATTGTTTCTTTAGGTAAACTTAATAAACCTAGTAGATAATTATCACTTCTTTCTAGACTTTAGCGTCACCATCCATCTCTACATCTTCAACCATACTTCTCTCCATCTTCAGACTTCAGTGGCATAGCTTCTCTTGCGGTAGCGGCTAAGGCGATTGCTTCATATTATAATTGCTTATCTTCTATTTCTTTCATTTTTTTCTTTCAACTTTTAATTTTTTTGGTTCCTTATTTTCCAGCATCCCCCACCCTCTTTTAGATTTAGTACAAGCTACAAATTTCAAAGAATGATGTAACTTTTTTTGCGTGAACTTTTGTCCATATTTAATATTTATAAGGTTCGAAGATGTATTTGAGACACTAGTGTTTTATGTTACTGTTTTAATTTTTTGTGTTTTAAGAATTAAGACAGGGTATCATTTTTTGTAAAATTCAAGAATTATGATCTTATCATGTATTCATCATGAAAATGGATTATGCACTTTTATTTACCTAGGCTAAAAATATATTAGTACTATTTTTTCTTATTGAACTGAGGCTTACGCCTCGTTCTGCCTCGATGCTTACAACTCCAAGCATTTTTCTCAACCACCTTGACGCTAGTTTTTGCCTTTCAAAACCTTGCATACTGAGTTCTTAACTACGTCTAGGTACAGTGAATCAACTCAATATTGAGTTCTAAATTAGGTCAAGGTATAGTGATCAATGAAATATTCATCTTGTTTCAAATCAAATGTGAGAAGATTGGAAACCAACTTGAGTCTTCGAAACCCCACCTGAAAAATAGGTCCACATGCTTACTAAGGGGACCAAATTTTATAGTGCATACTCAAGGGACTAAATCAGGTATCGAGTTTATTTTTCCTTTATCTTGGAAACCTCTATTACATCATGATTGATGTGCTTAATTAACTTTGCAGGTAGGCAGAGTAACCCAAAGAATCATGCTTATTTGAAGAAATCTGAATCCGCACGGTATAATATTCCTTCTCCTTCTCAGCGGACCCAGTACTCCGAGACTGGTGATGATCTTCATCATAGCTCTATTCTCCAATCTGATGTGCACAAATCTGCCTTCTCATCAAATGAATTATACCTTAAAGCGTCTCCTACTTTGAAACTCAATGGTGGAGCCTGCTTACCTTCTCATCATCCAAATTTTGACAGTGCATATTCAAGTTATGGCTTGAGTGGTCAATCTGATAATCTAATATCAAGCCATCATGGAAGCGCTAATCTTCCACCCTTATTTGAAAGTGCTGCTGCTGCATCTGCTATGGGGGTCCCTCGAATGGACTCAAGAATGACCTCCGAGCAGCTACTTGGTAGGATAGGAAATCAAATCGGTGCCGGCTCTGCTCCTTTGCAGGCACAGTTTGTAGATCCACTGCATGCTCAGTACTTGCTTCAGTATGCAGCACTTAATGATCATTCCATGGATCAGACTTATATGGGTAATTCATATATGGACTTGTTTCAAAAAGCTTACATGGATGATAATATGGCATCTCCACAGAAATCACAATATGGTATTGCATTGAATAGTAAGAGCAGATCAAGTAATCATGGATACTATGGGAGCCCTGCTTATGGGTTTAATTTGTCCTATCCCGGTAGTCCGATGGCAAGCCCTTTAACGCCGAACTCTCCTATGGGACCTGGTAGTCCTTTGAGGCAAAATGATTATGGTCTGAGATTCTCTGGAGGATTGAGAAACTCAAGTGCCAGTATCATGGGATGTTGGAACTTGGATAACATGGATAACGGATACCCACTTTCTCTTCTGGAAGAGTTCAAGGGAAATAAAACAAAATGTATTGAACTATCAGAGATTGCAGGTCATGTAGTTGAATTCAGGTATAGGGTTTGAGTATAAAAATGCATATACATGTTAGGGTAGTCTCGAGTTTAACATAGTTATTTAATTTATGCGTCAGTGCTGATCAGTACGGGAGCAGATTCATTCAACAAAAACTAGAGACTGCCACAATTGAGGAGAAAAACATGGTTTTTCAGGAAATTATTCCTCATGCAATGACACTCATGACGGATGTGTTTGGTAATTATGTAATCCAAAAGGTATAATATCCTATTCTTTCCATGGTATTATGGAGTACGTGGAGATTTTGGCACATCGTAATGTATGATGTAATTTACACATTCTTCTGTCTTTAAAGTTGCAACATTTGATTTCTCTTTTCAGTTTTTTGAACATGGAATGCCAACTCAGAGGAGAGAACTAGCTAACAAGCTTCTTGGGAGTGTATTGACACTAAGCCTCCAAATGTATGGCTGTCGAGTGATACAGAAGGTAAATGAAGTAATATGGTGAATCATCTTACTCTAATGGTTATGTTTTTAAAATAATATCTGTCTTATTCATTTCTTCCCATTTTGGCTCTGCACTCTTTAAAGAAAATAATATTTTGTGTCTGTACTTTATTTAGAAATGAGAAATAAAATCAAGGAAACAATATCAAGTACAAAAGTATTCCCTTAAAAGGAAATTAGACAAAAGTTTTAGGACAACTCAAAAAGGAAGGTGAGAATTTTTTTTAGGACAGAGGGAGTAATATTAAGCAATTTAATACATGAATCTTCTACAATTATTGTTTGCTCTGTCATCTTAACTGAAACATGTATGTTTTTTTGTTCATGGGGATAAGTTGGTAATAAACAAACATGCTATTTAGTATGTTTTCAAGCTACATAAGTAATAGGATTTCATTACCAAACAGGCAATAGAAGTAGTAGATGTGGACCAGAAGATTAAAATGGTTGAGGAGCTGGATGATCATGTCATGCGGTGTGTGCGTGATCAGAATGGGAATCATGTCATCCAGAAGTGTATCGAATGCGTACCGGAAGAACATATTCAATTTATTATTTCTACATTTTTTGGGCAAGTCGTGACTCTCTCTGCTCATCCTTATGGGTGTCGAGTAATACAGGTGAAAGATAATGAATTTGTTATTTATTTCTTAATAGATTTACAACTTCTGAGATGCCATATTAGTATTTTGTGAAACTTTTCTTGTTTGGCAGCGAGTATTAGAACACTGCAAGGATCCACAAACCCAAAGTAAAGTGATGGAAGAGATTTTAGGATCTGTTAGCACATTAGCACAGGATCAATATGGTAATTATGTTATCCAGGTATGAATTATAAACTTGTGTTTTAAATGCTGCTTTGAAGATACCATATGATGAGCAAGTATTTGTAGGTCTTTGTTGCTTTGAGCTCTATTTTCCATTTTGTGGTGTGTTATGTCACATTTCCTTACAACTCATATGGAATTATCAATAAGTCAATAACTGATTATTTAAGTAGTTTGCGATGTCTTGTTTCTTGATTTTAGCCATGAAATACAATTTTGGACAAAAAGGTTCAATTTATACCTGTATTTGAAATATTAGTTTCTCTGTTATGTTTATTGATATGTATATGGATATATGTTGCATTGGTTATAATAATTCCTCTCCATTCCAACCTTTTAAATGCTCATATTTGTTTCTTCAAAGAAAAATAATGATAATTTCAACTATTCCTTAGGCTTTCCAATTTTTTTTAGCTGGAGGTCTTTGTGTGAACAGCCTCTTTACTCCTATGGTAGAAGTAATGCACTAATTCCTGGGAACATCTCACCCTCCCGATACATTACTCTTGAGTGAGACTTCATAGGCATGTTTTTGTTTTGTTGGTCTGACTAAAATTCATATGTAACTTGTTGAAATTTTTTTCTCCTTATTTTAAATTACAATTGTTTGATCAAATAGTTTTCTTTTTTTAATGAAAAATAAATGTTCAAAAGAGGATTCATGGGACTGAAGGAGTGATGCATATTTACTTTATGGCAGTGAGATTTTAGTATTGGTTTGTGTCAAATGTAATTTTGTTATGTATCATCGTCTTGTTATTCTTGCATGTCACTATAAGTTTACCTTTATTTTGGTTCTCTTAGACACACGTTGATTTTTTTTAATGAAACACAATTGTAACAGCACGTGCTGGAGCATGGCGAGCCACATGAACGATCTATCATTATCCAGGAATTAGCTGGGAAGATTGTTCAAATGAGCCAACAAAAGTTTGCCTCAAATGTTGTGGAGAAATGTCTGACTTTTGGGGAACCCAATGAAAGACAACTACTTGTGAATGAGATGCTTGGCACAACAGATGAAAATGAACCGCTTCAGGTTTTGCGTCGATTTTCTTTTGCTTTCACAACATTTTATTTGTCATGGTTGCTCAAGTGTTGCTTTATTCTTCGTCTCTTTTGTTCTTTTTTGCACAGGCAATGATGAAAGACCAGTTTGCAAATTACGTTGTACAGAAAGTTCTGGAAACTTGCAGTGATCAAGAACGTGAATTGATCCTCTCACGAATAAAAGTCCACTTGAACGCATTGAAGAAATACACTTACGGGAAGCATATTGTTACACGTGTTGAGAAACTCGTTGCGGCTGGCGGTGAGCATCTCTTTGTCAATCCACACGTTCACAAACCTCTTCTCTTAATCTTTTGGTTGAATGGCTTATGAGTAAACATTCTCTTGGGTTTGGTTAGTATATCTTTTTTTGGTGATCACTTAAAAGGAGGTAAAGTGGGAGAAGTTGTTTTTTCATACATCCAAAAGAGGAATGTGAGTTATGTTTTAAGGACGGAGGGAGTATATTTTAGATATTATATCCAAACATAACGTGTTTTCACTTTTCATACCTTTCTATTTCCATTTGCTCTGATCGATTGAATCAAACCCACCGTAAAGATATGCCGCGGAGAGCATTTCAAAAACTTGACACCCTTTTATTACAAGTTTATAAGGTCATGACTATATCTTCAAACTTTGATGCAGAAAGGAGAATGGCTGCCCAAGTCCCCAACATGGCTTAAGATCTTTTATATATAGAGCACGTAACGATGTACAGCTAACCCGAGGCTAGTTTGAGCTCCCTCCCCTTCCCGCTATCTCTATCTTCCTCTCTCTCTCTCTCTCTTTCATGGGCTGTGAATGCCAATAAAGTTGCTCATGTTAGATAGAGAGAAGTGTACATTGTGTAGTTTGAAGTTCTGGTATAGAGAGAACCAAAGTAGAGAGCTGAAGACTGAGCAGAAGAGAAGAGGATGACGAAGAAGATGATGAGTTTATGTATAAAAACAAATGATATTACCAAGGCAAAATTAGGGTTTTCATTTACTACATAATCTGTGTTCACTCTGTATAAATGTGCTTTAGTTGTTAACATGTTGAGAGATGATGATGTTTATGTTCTCAAGGCCCACCAGTGTTTTCTTGCATGGTGCTTTTGATTCATCTTAGCTTTATCATCTCATCTTCAGTCATCTCTCACTTTGATTGCTTGACTATTATTGGGAAATATGTTTGTTAAAAATTACTCAATCTTTTCAAAAAAAAAACTATCTTTTTGAGTTGTGTTAAAATTTAGGCTCAAAACTCAGACTTCAATTTCATGGTTTCAATTACTAGACTCTAAATTCCGATGAGGTTCCAGTTATCAATTTTGAGTAATTAAGTTCAAATTATCTATTTCTAGTTGAGCTTTAAAAAAAAGAATAAATTCCATAAAAAGTTCTCAGTTATAGGTTGTTTTGCATATTTAGTTTCTACATATGAAATATTACTAATTTAGTTCTCAATTATTACATTATTTTCTACGAATGATCCTTTGTTAACGTTTTTGTTAAGAACATGGATGAAATTGTATATTCATACTTTTCTCTCTCTCTCTCTTTAATTAAGTTCTTTCTTTCTCTTGTACTCTTTTCCAAACTCGCCGTTGAGTTTGAAGCTCTAAATCCAAAACTAAAATGATTATTCATTTCTCAATTATTAGTGTTCTTAGTGGAACTTAAAATCAAAACTAATAAGATTTATGGATGAGTTTTATCGGTTAGTATCAAGAAATTGCAAAGAAAGTAAATATTACTTCCTCCGTCCCAAATTATAATGCCTGTTTACTATTCACATGGTCAAACTTCATTCACTTTCTTTCTCTATTTTCGTTAGCAGTTTGATAAAATAAAATATTATTGTCACTACTAGTTTTGTAGATCTTTTGATGTAGTTTTTTAATATGTAATTTTTATTTTTTAATTCTATACCATTTGTCATATAAAATGGTTTGAAAATAATTTCAGTCAAACATCGTAAACCGAAACAGGCGTTATAAATTGGGACAGAGGTAGTAAAATTCATCCATGAAGGTTACTGGTTTCGAATTTGGGTTCCACCAGTTAGAAAAATAATTGAGAGAAGAGTGATGATTCCGGTTTTGGGTTCAAAGCTTCAAACTCAGCGACATGTTTGGGAAAGGAGTGCGAGGGGAGGGTGGAAGCTTAATTGAAGAGAGAGTGGAGTGTGAATTTACAATTTTATCCACATTCTTAACAGAATTGTTAACAAAGGACCATTCATGGAAATCAACATAATAGTTAGGGACTAAATTAGTAATATTTGATATTTATGGAGTAACTATGTAAAACGACCTATAATTGGAAACTTTTATGAAATTTACTCTAAAAAAAGTTTATAATGTGATTTCAAGAAGTCGTGGTTAATGAGGTTCCAGTTATCAATTTATAAACTTAAAATCACATTATGAGGTTCAGTTATCAATTTTCAGTAATTAAGTTCAAATTATCAATTTCTAGTTGAGCTTTAAAAAAAATTATAATGTGATTTTAAGAAGTCATGGTTAAGAGAAAAGAACATGGTCATAATGTGATTTCAATGAGTCATGAAACAAAATATTTTGGCCTTATTTTAGAATGGTGTTTTCGATTAGGATTAGTATTTTGGATAAAATTTTTATGATATGAAAACTTTAATGCTAAACGTTGTCGTTAGATTTTTTTAAAACTCTTATTTATTCTCAATTGTTAAATCGCTAAATCCATTCCAAACTTATTTCTTTCACTACTTTTATTTGTTTGTACGAAAATAAATTTAATTTTTTTAAAAAATCATTGATTCAACACCATTTACCTCTCCTCCACATAAAAATCAATTACACCAATTTATAAACGCAAATTCTTTAGTTATTCTTTAGTCTATATATATTTTATGGACTTTAGTGGATCAAATATTTAAATATATTGGATCAAAAAATCTAGAAAAAATTACCCAAAATAATCCCAACTTTACTCGGTCTTTCAAAAATAATCCCACATTTCACTGTGATGCATAATAATCCCAACTTTACTGAAATTTGCCAGTTTTGGTTGCCGTTAAGTTTCTAACGGAGGGATAACGGAAATACCCGTTTTAGGCAACAAAATGAAAGTTGGGATTATTTTTGATGAATTTTTGTTTTTTAATTTTTTTTGAAATTTTTATTTAAATTTTTTGAATTACTTTTAACCTCCATTTCCTTTTCTTTTTTAAAGATTATTCTTACCTTAGAAAAAAATAGATATAAAAATAATGAAAATGAGAAAAATAACTAAAACCATTCAAAATTAATCAAATAAATAATGTAATCAATAGAAATTAAATAGAAACTGGTAAGAAATAAAATAAATATATATGGAGTCGTGGGTTTAACATTTTACACACTATACGGAGTCTTAATGTACTACTTATTTTTTAAAAGAACAAGCCGTCCGGTAAAGTTGGAATTATTGTAGATAATTTTTTCTAAAAAATAAGAAGTGATATGTTAATGCTTTGTATAATGCCTAAAATATTAAAACCCACCCGTATATTTTTATTTTACTTTTTCCAATTTCAAGTTAGTTTCCATTGATTACCTTATTTAATTTATTATTTTTGTATCATTTTAGTTACATTTCTCATTTTTTCATTTTTTATATCTATTGTTTTTATTTTTTAAACTAAGACTAATCTTTAAAAAAGGAAAAAGAAAT